GCAAGAACGGTGATAAATACTTTCTCCTTATGTCATTATACAGAGGGCATTCTAAAACATAATGAATAGTGTTTTTCAAAACTCCTGGATAGGCTGGGCAACATCTTTTAGCCCTTGGAACAGAAGTCTATGTCCAGCCAAAACAGCTGTGGGCATCTGTTCGGTTCTGAGTCTAGTCAAAGAGGTTCACCATTTATTGTTGAGAGCCAGCTGTAAACACCTTTCTCCCCACCGATCTAATTTCCAAATAATATATAGAGGGGTGATGTGAGTAGCCCTGACAGAGGTCTGAATACCAGGTCCTCTCTGCCTATTAGATACTTTTATTAGAGCACATTCTAAGACATTACATCTTAATACCACGAATCACATTCAGTCACAATGAGATTCAACCCTCTCTCCCCCATCCTAGTAAACCTTTCCTATCTTAAATAGCTCTACTTCAGAGCAGCTTAGGACTTACCTGCAACCAGTCTTTCCAAAATCCACAGCCCTAGCAACAGTATAAGGCGCAAGACAGAAGAGCTTTTCATGGTCCTGAGATCAAAGGAGCTAATGTTGTAATGAAGTAGGAATACTTGACAGTTTCTCTTTTGAGTCTATCCTGGAGACAGAAGTGTTAGCAGAATGGCCACTGCTAGCAGTTCCACACACATTTTAATCCTCACTGGCAGGATACCACCACCCACATGCTGGACTGTGATGAAATGAGATGCAAGGAAAAACAAGGACGTTTAGGCAATAGCAATACAGCCAGGGCTGACTCGGAATTCCCCAGCATTCTGTGTGCCTAATCTGTAATAGATTTTCTTTTCATAGAAGGTGGCGGGGGAAGACCAAAAAAGGAGCTGTCAGCTGAAAGCAGGGGAAGTGTCTGCACAAAAAAGTGAAGATAGGATCACAGCATCTGTGTGATAATAGAATCCAGTTTATATGGGCAATAAGAACAGAGCCAATGCAGTAGCACAAGCCACCAACAGGAGTGCAAAACCTCCATCCATCCCGGGTTTATTGCCCGGTTGCTAAAGCCTGCACTGCTGTGTCCCCATTGCAGCCATACCCCTGTTAGCTGGATCAAGCAAACACAAGTATTCTGGAGCCTCCTACATTTCATCGTCACTTTCCTATGTAGACATATCCATAGCTGGGCCAGTTCCTCATTTGGTATAAACTGAAGCCTGTGGAACAGACCTGATTTCCAAATCCTGAGGATATGACCCCATGTGATTAACCTTATAAAGTGCACCTTTAACCCAGGGGTGGGCAATTATTTGGACTGAAGAGCCACTTAGGCAGTTCTGGTGAGTTGTTGCAAGTCAGGTCAGCATTCTTCCCGCACCCCTCACCCCCACCCCGCAACAGCTCACCAAAACTCACTAAATGGCTCTGCCCTGGGGCCTGGCCCCACACTGTCACCATTCCACGAACCCACTCCTGACCTCAGCCCTGCCTGCCCATCCCATTCCCTGATGTCACTCCCTGCCCGCCTGCAGCCCCATCCCATCTACCTGGCCAAGCGCACCCTGCCCACGTTAGTCCCAGGCTGGTCTCCTTGGAGACCCTGCCTACCTACTCCAACCAGTGCCCCGGGTGGTAGGTGCAGGGCAGATGAGCCAGGGTACCCAGGCAACAGGGCCAGATCCTGCAGCAGCACTGTCACTGGTAAAATCCCTTAGCGGCCCAAATCCAGCCCACAGGCCATATTTTACCTACCCCTGCTTTAAACCATTTGAAATGCCATTCTTTAGTTGACCTGATTGAAATTTGGCATTTCCATTCCATGGGAAATTCTGACACTTCCAAATTCATTTTTACTTGGAAATAGAGCCAATCAAAAGTTTTGGAAGTCCCTAGGAAACAATTTTTACAATATTTTTTATGTCTGTCCAAAAAGTTGCTGTTTCCGAGTTCAACTTTTGGATATTTTTTTATAAGATAGAATAATAAGTGTTTTAACACAAAATCATTTGCAACAAAAAATAAATTGAAGTGTTAAACTTTGATAAGGTTGAAACAGAATATTTGGGTCATATCACACTTTCTTTTGGGGTTTTTTTCCTTCCTTAAATTACATCTTCTTATGATTATCCTTATTTTGAGAAAAGTTTCTACATCAGGGAATTGGTGTTTTCTGGTGGAAAAGTATTCTGTCTGAAAATTGTCAAATAGCTCTATTGTATAGGTGAAGGGAGCAACCATCATGATCTGGGCACTTTCCATACCCAGGAGGAGGTGGAGAACAAGGAAGTAGGCCTTGCCTGAAGGAGCTCGCAGCCCAGAAAAAACATGTAGTGGGAGGAAAAAGGACACAAGATATAGAGGTGATGTGGCATGAGGGATGTCTTATTGGTGCCATGGTACAGGGCTGGCATTTTTTTGGTTTTAAGATCAATTGCCCTGAAGTCAATGTTGTGAAGCTGATTTACATATCTGAAGATTATGTTCCCTTTTCCCAACTGACCCTCCACAGTTCACCCAGCTTGTCCAGTCCTAGCTCCCAGTGCCATGTCACTTTATTTTCCCCTCCTGCACAGCAACATGGCTCCCACTGCTATCAGAAGCCAGGCTGACACCTGTGCTCTGAACTTCCCTGAACAGCCAGGGAGGGTGTCAGTGCTCTGTGCAGAAAACCTCAGCCCTGCCACTTTGGTGTGTTGCTTTGAGGCAGTGGGAAACCTCAGTGTTGTAGGCTGTGCTGGATTCAAGAGCCTGACCTCACTGTGGCTACACAGAGGCTACACTGAAGATGCTGGGGAAGGAAGAGCTTCAGTTTGACAACAGCTGAATTACTATGGAAGACCTTCTATAAACATGAACACCCAACAGATCCCTGGTATCAACCCAGTGACCAGGAAGACCCCAGACAAAGCTGAACACACCATGAGAGGATGCCAACAAAGCCCTTTCTGCCCCCCGAGCCACAATTAGCCTGCAAGCAGCAGAGGCTGGTGCTATCCTCATATCTTTCTTGTTGTCTAACTTTGATTCTGAGGAACTAGGGGTTATCAGTACCTGATAGAAATTCAGCCACAGGCTCTGGCCCTTACTGGGGGACCAGCTAGCTCTGAATCAGCCCCTGAGAATAAACCCAGGTTTCAGATATGAGTTTGTTGCTGCAACCTGCTATTTTTATAACCAATCCCATGTGACCACCACAGTCGAACGTGCTGAATTGCAGGTTGTCTAGGACTGGATCCATATTCCAGGCACCTGCATTTGGGACTGTTCAGGCCCAGGCTTTGGTTTTGGTTTTAGGTCAGGTATGAAGTCTGAATTCAGATGCTAACAATGCAAACAGCAACCTGTGTCCCAGCAGCAGTGGCTGTTTCAGCACCATGACTCCACACAGACTCTGCCCCCAAACCAGCAGTAAAGCAGTTGTTCTGAGGGATATACCCACGAAAAGTGCAGGCTCAGCGACAGGCAGGAGGGTAAGGCACCTCTCTGTCCTTCTGACCTCCTCCCCTTAGGTGTCACCTGGGGCACAAGCCCTGTTCACTCACCCCACATTGTGCCACTGTGTATGCTTTTGTTGCATTCACTATTGCACAGCACCATGTGCTGGAAACCAGGCCTTAGAAACAGTACTTAGCTACAGTGGGTAATACTGGACCTTGGTAGACTGGCCTTGAATTCCCTGCTCTATTTTATGCCAAATAGTCCAATAAGCTGTAATAGATTCATAGCATTTTAAACAATGGTGTTGTTATAGGGAGAAGGAAGACAATGCAAGGTTTGAGTATAACAGAAGCTTGCAGGCCTGATAATGAGATGTGAGGCACACACTGAGAAGCCCAAGTGCTGGGCAGCCTGGGCTGCAGTGTCTTTCCTATAACATTCAGTTTAATTGTAGCAAACAATGACTGATGCAGTTTCCCTGTGAACCCACATGGTCAAAATGACTATCAGGCAACTCAGATTCTCCTTTTTCATTTAGTTTAAGAATAAACTAATTTGAATCCTTTAAATACTTTATCTAAATTTTAGCTTTCCATGTACAACTAATGAGTACCTGTATGTCCTGTCTGTCACCCTGGTGGAGACCAGGAGTAAATCAGGTGTAGTTCAGGAGTGATTCAATTGAAATGAACCATGTACATTTCTACTGGGGTCACTGTGCTGCAAGACTCGCCTGAGAGAAGGAATGGGCTCTTTGTGCATGTCTAGCTCACCTCAGGGTTGGGTCTCTCTCTCAAATGCTCACTCAGGCTTACATGTCTCTAAAGCACTTTCTTCATTTGTTCTTTGTTCACCATGAAGCTAGGACTGACAGTAAGAAAAGCATTTACACCATAGCAGGTGTGTTAAGTTCAGGAGAGGTCCTGTAGAAGCTCTTCAATTTGCTGAGACAAATGGGCAATGTTGTAACACTGGAGCAGCAGACTCATCTGTAATACTGTGTGGAGCTTCTGAGGAAAAGGAAATCAAACAAGATCTTGGAATCATAATAACAGTTATCTCAATGTAACACCTAGTACTTTGTCATACTGTTGCCCAAATGGCTAGTTTCGTGCCCCTGGAGGCTAGACCAATTTCACCTCAAGGAGAGAGTCACGCACAGGGTGGGTCCGTCATGAGTTTATTGATTGCGCAAGCAATGTCAACAGAGGAGCTAATGCTCAAAGCTGTGTCAACCCCGAATTTCTCTCGGGGTTACACTTTTATAGCTTACATAAACAAAGGGCTACAACGTGTCATACAACTATTGGCAGTACCACAATTTCCTTGTTGTTACGTCTTATCTTATGGGCTAGGCTTAGTTTGCTATTGGTTAATATCTCCTATTAAGTTTAGTGCATGCGTATTTCAAAAGCAGAACTGCGGCAAAAAGTTCTGTCGCATGCGCAGAGGAAAAGGGGAACTGTGGCAAAGTTAGTGTCTTTCCTTAGTGTAACTTCAGGGCATTAGGCAAGTATGGTTACAAAATGCAGAGCAAGCAGGAAGGAAAAAGAAACCCACAACTCAGTCGTTAGGCCTCGTGCTTCCTACACAAGGGATCATGAGGGACTCATACAGTTATTACTCAAGTGAGGCCCAGGTCATAATGTATTTTTACCACAATACCCTTATATAGTACACACTCTGGAGGTACATGATGGGCTTCATCTCTCCGCAAAAGGGTCTCTTTTTTTACAGGTTGGCTGACCTCCTACTTTGGGCTTAAACTAAATACGACGGGGGACGGAGAGGCAGGAGATGGAGAGAGTCTAGAACCTACAAACTGCGAAACCTACAGCAGTACACCCCAGGTAAGTACCAAGGGGCCCTTTGGGCATCAGAAAGAGGGGGCACCAAAGGCACCATTTGGAGGGCTCAAGTGCCTCTATACTAATGCTAGGAGCATGGGGAACAAGCAGGAAGAACTCACACTTCTGCTTGCGGGTAATAACTTTGATTTAGTGGAGCTAATGGAAACCTGGTGGGACCCTACCCATGACTGGGCAGTGGGCTACAGGTTGTACAGAAGTGACAGAGTAGGGAGGAAAGGGGGTGGGGTTGCTTTCTATGTAAAGGAGCATTATACATCCACCCTAATCAAAATGGGATCAGAGAAGAAAGTTGAGGCATTGTGGGTTAGGATTCATGGACGTCGAGGGGAAAGGGACTTGGTGGTGGGGGTCTGCTACAGACCATCCATGTAACTCTGCACCACTTGTCATACCTCTCCCCAGGCAACCAGGGAGCCTGTGACTAGGGAGCCAGCAAACAGGGACTGCCAACAGGAGCAGTTTGCAGGCAGCTGCTGGAGGCAAGAGGAGGGAGAAAGGAGAAGAGAAGCCAGGCCAGGCACTAGATCCTGTCCAGGAAAGGTAAGTGATCCAGCTGCCTATAGCTTTGGTTAGGTACATACCCTGACACTAATAGGTCATTGCAGCCAATAGCCCTGGGAACCAAATAGATTGAAAGGAAGATAATGAAGAAACAAAGCTGTTTATTTTTTTTGATTGCATGCAACTTGAAGGCAGGAAATGAGTAATGGCTGCTCAGCCCTGCACCCCACCCCCACCCCAGCCTTTCTGATTCCATTCCAGAAGTCAACAAGTCAAAAATCAACAAGTCTGATTTTTTTAATGTAATGAGTTTCCTTAAAACTGATCTGAAAATAACAGGAAATGAATTCCACATGTCCCAGTTGTCTAAAGATGCATTGCCTGTTTCTCCTCTAATTACAATATTTTTTCTCTTGCATGAAGGCATTGTTCCAGAAAATGAGAAAACAAGCAATGGTGGCAGCAGCAGACATTTCTCATGCATGTTTATCCAAGGGGTCACCATGGAGCTGGAGGGAAAAATTCAGCCATGTATTTATGGAGGGCTTGCAGCAATTTCAGCATCCAGCTGTTCCAGCTTCTGCATCACATTTGAGACCTAACACCTGGTACCAGCTGAGCTTGATCCTGGAAAGTTTTTTATAACGCTCATCATCACCACAGCATTTCAGCCTCAGGTCCATCATGAACAGCCTGTGAGGGTTATGTCTTAAGCACTTCCCAGGTAAATTAGTCATAGGCAATCGTCAATCCCCTGGATCATGATGTATATGTAAGAGGTCTAGTCAGCTGCCTGATGAATCTGCTTGTATGGAGTGCTGCAACCATCACACTGTTGTCCCCAAAGGACAGTGAGTTTGCGCTTGTGCCAATAAACACACAGGGGTGAAGGATCCAACTTAATCTTTATTTCTGCGCAGAAAGTGGCGCTTGGCAATCGTTCGCAAAGCAAGCACCCACACCCCAGTGGGTGTCTGCCTTATATAGCTACGTAACAGGTTAAACTTGCTGATGTGATGAAATGTGTAGCAAGCCCAGCAAGTAACCCCCCTTCCAGCTCCGGAACTTTGTTGATACAGCTTTTCCTCTAGCGAGGCCAGCAATTAAACAACTAAGCAACAAGCGATCTCCCCCAGCCTAAACAACCTATTCTATGCCCTTGGTTAGATAAAATACTTTTTTCAAAACATACAAAGCTGTTGCTGAAGAGAAAATGCATAGTAAAAGTTCAGGGGATCTCTGCTGGACATGGCTTCCAGCCCTACCTCTGTCCCTAGGGGTTTAGCCAGGTGCCCCTGAAACAAGGGGTGCTTATCAACACCAATATCAATACATACGCCTAGGCAAGAGTATGGACAAGTGGAGGCTGCCCAAGACCTACCATCCCCACCCCTTTAGATCATTGAGACAGAATCCAAAGGCCAGACAGAGTCCAGACGTTCAGTGCCTCAATGATTGCAGCTTCTGCCAGAGAGCAACAGGTAAGAACTGCTGCTGACTGCCTCATGCCTCAGAGAAGGCTGAATGATACAGTGACTGATGGACATCAGCAACCTTTTCTCCCCCCTTCCCTGACAGAGTAGGCTGTGATTGAAGCAGCTGACTACCACTCTTAAGTCCCGTCTCTCCTTTATGACTAGGGAGAGTTTGCAACAGCAGCATTTCAAACTGTTAATACCAATATTTAAAAAGAAGATGCCAGATGTTTGATCCAATCTCTAAGTGATCCAGGGCTCTGCAGGCCTTTCACTCCCACTTCACCTGCAGCCTCACTCCCCTGCTCCAGAAGACCTGGGTACTCCCACTTAGCTACATGCAGGACAGATCCAACCACCCTTTCCTGGAATTCCTGTAATCTGACACCGAGTCACTTT